ATAGCTAAAAGTCAAGGTAGATAATAAACACACTGAGGAAATATACTTTAGTGAAAAGAAAAGAGTTAATGAAAGTGAGCATACCTGAAAGATGAAAAGTTTTTTCCTTCATGAGTATTTTAAGCATTATTTAGGCTGAGTTAAACTTTGTCCCAGCTTATGTTTTTAATTAGTCCAAATTCTGAGTCACTAGTGTCTGATTTAATGAGGTTTCACTGTACGTTCTTAGGCAGAGACTCTGAGAAATAGTTTTAGATTTACTATTCAGTTCTAATTTCAAGTATCCTGTTCTGTTGTCCTCAAAAACCACCAAAATGAGTCCCCAAAGTTATACTGTTTTGCCTTATAAATGTTGTGTCTAAGATTTTCTCTTTATGTCATATGGGTAAAAATCCTCTATAAAACCACGTATTCTAATATTGGACAGAAAATATAGTTTCTCCAAAGAGACCCTCTCCCCGTAAAATCTAATCCAGTGTAATCACTATAGATCACCTGACAATTAGAGGTGGCTGCATTTTAGATATAAAATTCTCAAATGCAGATTTTTTAAGATAACCTTTTCTTGAAGGTACTTGTACCCATTCCTACCAAATAGTAAGCACTGAAGATTTTTCAAAGCTGAAGACAACTGAAGTTTAAACATTTTAAACTAATGTATGGCAGAAAACTGCAAGGATAATTTTAAGAATGATTCTGTATTAATTTCTGTCCTGCAAGGCTTTGTTTTTTATTTATCTATTTTCTAATGTGGCTTTGGTATATGTTACGCTGCATCCTTCTGGTGCCCAGTTTTAAGCTTGCCATTTGGTCAAGACGTGTTATTTATGGCGATACCATTGTTCATATTTAACTGTGCGTCTGTCTCTAACTCTGTGTCCTAAGGTGAGAACACAGCCGTGATGAAATAAAAACAAGTGTAGTAAAATAAAAATGACAGTCTCATTGATTACATTTAGATGAGTTGGTTGAGTCTTTTGGAACATTGTTACTAATTACCGCTATTTTCCTTTAAAAACTGTCAAATGCAGATTAGGAGCTTTTGCACGTAAGTTCTGTTTTCCATGTTCTTTCAGAGATAGTTCTGATCATGAAGCAGATAGACAGTTTGGCCAGTGGTAAAAATTAGACTGTAAAATTATGTTTGCATATGACGTACGTCTGAAAACTGATGCAAGAATTTGGAAATTTCAGATCAAAAATCCCATTGTTGACAATATCCAGGAAATTTGGAGATAATTTCTGGTTGATATGAATTACATGCATAAATATTTTAAATAGTTTTGTAATTTAAGTGTAAAAGATTCTGGGGAGTTTGGATATAAAATTTGTTATGAATTTTTTTCCTTTAAATAATTTGACTTGTCTGGTTAAAATGACTGCATTGAAGGTTGCAGATTAGTAAACTTGGAGAACTGGTCACATAGTGTTTTATTAAACTTTGATCAGATCAGACGTCTAGTGTTAAGGGCAGACATCCAGGTTTTAATAAGATTGTTGAAATTTGCCAGTGAGATTTTTGAAACACTTACACATTTCCTTAGCATTTGTTTCCCCTGTCATTGCCCAAATAATACTGAACTTATTAAACCACCATCCATTCTTATTTGAAAAATAATTCAATTTTATGGTTCAGTTGCAACAGCTGAAATGATAAGTATTGGGAGATGTTTGTTGCTAGTCAAGTGTTCCAGTTTAGAGCCTGAAGTTAAAACCTGGGTCCTGTGCCAGCATTGGGTAGGCAGATTTATTTCTCTTTCCTCTGAATTTGCCACATGTTAACATCACAGAGATATGTAGAGTTCCTTCAGGATTTGTGACTTAGTTCAGTCCAGTCGCTGGTGAACTATACTTTGAAGAAACCAATAGGGAAGTCCAAAGATAGCTGAGAAGAATCAAGGAAGAAGGTGATGTTTACAAGTAAGGGAAAGAAAATATTAGCAAGATGGTGGTACCTTCAGTGGTCATGGGGAGATAGCAAAAAAAATGGGGTCCCACGCACATGCGCACACACACGCACACGCAGAGCCAAGTGCGAGTAAAGTTGCTGTTGCATTGACATTTGGAATATACGTTTGTGAAAGATATAAAAATAGCAATGGATAGAGCATGCTTGCAGATTGAGGAAGATGGACCAAATTTGTTCAGACAGCGTGTTATCCAGGCAATACAAGGTGTGGCTGACTCTGTGAACTCGAAGAAATGCATTTGGCAATGGCTGAGGAGCAATAAGAAGCTCTCCCTGTTCTTGAATGCACTAAGGTGAACACCCTAGAATTCCTTGACTTCAGCCAAAGGTTGCAATCATTTCTCTTTCTCTCCTTGCCTGCTCTCTGTCCTTGACTTAGCCAAGTTAAAAGAAGGAGAGTAGGAAAGTTCTGGCATTTGCCGCCTCTCACCTCTCTGTCTGTGGCTCAGGATGCGCCAGAAGTGTTCTCCAGACCTGCCTCTACCTCCTTACTGGGAAAGGCAAAATTTTAGGACATGTCGGAGCAAATCCAAGAACAGTATTGGGTTGGCTGAAAAGTCTTGCATTTTTTTTCATAAAATAAAAGACACGTTTTTCATTTTCGTCAATAACTTTATTGATTTGGATATTTTGAGTATGTTGGCGATCTCCTGCTATTGGCTTCTAGTGGGTAGAGGCCAGAGGTGCTGCTAAATGCCTTCCAATGCATAAGAAAGCCTCACAGCAAGGAATGATTTGCCCAAAATGTCAATAGTACCGAGAAACTTCACAAATCACTTTTGACATGTTTGACATGATCAATTACAGCACCTTCTCCATACACTGCATAAATCTATTTCTGCACTTCAGTTGAGTTTTTACCCTTCTTGAAATAAGAAAGCATAATATGCTGAAAATGTTGTGTATCTTCTTCCATCTTCAGTATTAAAATGGCTGCACAAAAACTCACTAATTTTGTTAAGTTTTTTTTTTTAATGCATGCGGATAAAACAACTTTCACAATACAGCCTCACAAAATTGTTTCGAATAAATTTAAAGACAACTAAGCACTACTAGAGCCATCGTCTGGAAAAAACTAAATGAACTTCTTGGCCAACCCAATAAAATTGAACTTTTGCAATTGAAGTAGGAAAACTTTCTGATTTTCAGAGCTGCAATTAATTTTCTTCAGGAATTCAAGAGCTTCAGGATGAGTGCTGCAGAGGGGATGTCTATAGGTTTAGTGACAAGGAGCCCAGATTAAAGAATTCTAAGCCTGGACTTTTGCTGTTTCATAGTAACAGCCATGGTTGAGCCATGGGCGTGGTGCTAATTGACCGAAGTAAAGAGTTGAAGAGAAGGTGTGCTCAGGAACCTCTGCCATAACCCTGGAAGTCATGAGATGAAGGATAGATCCTTTCTAAAAGCTGGTCATATTTATGTATATCATTTTAATTTAGCTTCCCCAGCACCTTTATGAGATATGTATTGTTCTTATTTTACACATTCGGAAACTGAGGCTAGAGGAGTTTCAGTGATTTCTCCAGATCATACAGCTAGTAACTGACAGTTGAGATTTAAACCTGGGTTTTGTGCCTCCCAATTTAGGGTTCTAGATCGAGTTAATGGTAATTATCATTCACATGTGAATTGATTAGAGCAGCATTGTCTTTGAAAGTAAAGGCAGAATTTATTGTACAGCCCTATAATTAGGTACAAGTTGTTTAGTACACCAGTGGGGAACTCAAATAAGAGAACCATAGCATCTTACCTTCTTACTGTATTTTATAGTGGGAACACCATCAGCATTACATATGTAGTGAAGATTTAAGACTATACTTGGATATAGAGCTATAGGTTTATTACTTTTGAAGATTCCTTTCATGTTTCTAGCCAAGAGCAAAAGATTTGTTTTCCTGACATTTCCGGTAGGTTTTACACCTCCAAAATCTTTTTCCCTCTACAAAGAGAACCTAAATCTTTTTACCCTTAGCTTAGCAGCATATCCTGTGAGCCTGTGTACTTCCTTGTATGAGGCTGTAAGACCCTTTTGTTATTGCTCCTTAGTGCTCCCAACCCCATCTGCATCTCTTCTTTAGAGATCTTTTGGTAATACTGATTTTTTGAAGTATAGCATAAAACCTTATGACTCAATAGAATGTGTAATTATGTACCATATTTTAAATAATAAATGTAATATATTGATGGCTTGCCCTTTACAACTAGCCTGCCTTCTGTGGTTAAAGATACTCAACAACAGAAACACCAATCTGGTATAATCCTGGGTAGCATGTTGTTTGTGGGTTTACATGTCATGCTGACTAGAATATGAAAATGCTAGAGGTGTTTAATGAAGTAAATGAAATTGCCATGCAAGTCACTTGAAATGATAAAAGAATAATGGGTAATTTAGATATTAAAATAGGTGCAGCTTTAAAAAAAGCCCACCCTGTTAGAAATCTGAGGCATAAGTCAACATTTTTTGGTCCACATGCGGTAAATCAATGAAAATTTGAAATTTAATAGCATCAGTAAAATTTAGGTACATAAGCTAGACCTTTTCAGTGGCTTCTTTCTTGATTTTCTTTCACCTTTGAAGGAGATTTTTCATTAGTTAGTTGCTTATTCTTATGTGCACTTGAGGTGAGGCTGTATATTTAGAACATGGTCTGACACTCCCAGACTCACTGAAAATGGACTTACTGATAACTCTAGAAGCCAATAATTCTCTTCCCTGAAAGATCCACCCCTGAAGTGCTTTGGAAGCTGTCATCAAAAAAACCACCCCAGCTTTTACAGAGAATACGTGGTTTGGGAAATGATGAGAACACAAAGGTCTATAAGTAGCTCTTTAGCATAAGATATTTAGGCAGAATTAACTTGCTAGTCTTCTGTCTTTATTCTCCAGATGATAAAATGCCCAAAATTTTATGGTATGTGTATATATAATGCATGGGATGTCAACAGCCAGAGACTCACTTTAAGTAACAAACAATTTCTTATAACACACACATACCCGCACTTATATTAATCCCTAAAAACACTCAATTGCTGATTTCGTGTCTTAGTTTAATTTTGGGGACAGGCAAGGTAGGTTACATCAAAGTAGAGTATTTGGATAGGGAAGTAGTCCGTGTTAAGTGTAACAGGGATGGTGCCTAGATAGTATCACAACCCTGGATCTGTGAGTGGGGTGGATACAAGAGAGTGAGTGTGGTGAAGTAAGTGGAAGGGGTCCGATGTCACTGTTTGTCCATGTTGAGGACTTGAGGAGACCGCTTTGTTCTGCTCAGAATGGCCCTTGTTCCTGGGATCTAGAACGAACATTAATGTAATTAGTATTATAAGTAAGCCCTGCCACGTGTGAAATAGACTCTTATGAGTTGACCTGACATTGTTTCTTGGAAGTATGTGTTGTGAGTTCCAAACACTTTGAAGAAGAAATTTTGGAGCAAAATCACTTGTGAGCTGATCACACTAGAACTATGTATAATATGTTCTTAAGATTATACAGGTGAACTATATGATTGTCTAACCATGATTCTGCACACCTGAAACTCATACAAAATAATATTGAATGCTAAAAGATTGTACAAGTACAACCTGCAGACACACATAAATTCATACAAATACACATGCTATATGAGTGATGATCAATCATTTCTGGGACTTATCCTTTTGGGGATACTCTCCATACTCCTAATTTTTTTTTTTTTTTTACTTTTTCTCTGTGATCTTTGATTTTTCATAACTTTAATTGCATAGACTCCAAAAGGTGAGTAGGAGAGGGTAGGAGAAGGTAGAGGAAAGACTCAGACTTCTTCCTCCTAACCTTTATTATTAGGCAAAGCAGGCCTCACTGGGCTTTGCAGGGTTTGAAGCCTCAGGGAGGCCTCCCCTGCTCGCCCCCGTCCCCTGCCCTCACACCTCAGGTTACCAATCTTAGCTATTTTGACCATCTTCACTTCATTGAAATTCTGCTAAGCAGTCATCAGGTTGGGTACAAATAACCTTGGGAGCATGGAAATAACTACTTTTATTATCAATAACAGTCAAGAGTCGCTGATAATGTATTTGATGTCTCCTCTGTACCACAGCTTTAGCATATGACATGTGTAATCTGTACATTGATTTCATTTCATTTATAAGTGAGGAAGTTATTTGAAGTTCAGCCAGTGTACTAGTCATGGTTATCTCCAGAAAAACAGAACCAGTAGGGACCTGTGTGTGTAGAGATTTTAAGGAATTGGCTCACGTGATTATGGAAGCTGTCAAGTCAAATATCTGTAGGGTTACCTGGCAGGCGGGAGACCCGGGGAAGAGCTGATGTTGTATTTTGAGTTTGAAGGCTGCCTGCTGCTGAAATTCACTCTTCTTGGGGGAGATCAGTGTCTTTTTCCTTAAGACCTTCAACTGTTTGGATGAGGCCCACCCACATTCTGGAAAGTAATCTGTTTTACTCAAAGTCTGCTGGTTTAAATGTTAAACTCATGTAAAAAAAAACAAAACAAAAAACCTTCATAGCAGCATTTAAACCTGTCTTCAACCAGATATTTGGGTATCATTGCCTAGCCAGATTAAAATTGACATAAAATTAACGATCATAACCAGTCATAATGACTTCCCTTAGGTCATATTGCTGGCAGGTGAGAGCCCTATCATGTGAACACAAGTGTGCCTGGCTCTGAAACCCTTGATATTTTCACTGTGCAGTGTAGCCCCTCAATTTTATTGGGTTGTTTGTTGTAGCATCTAGCTGAGATGTCAGTCCTTTGGGAAGAATGAAAATTTAGATCTGAGCAGGAAGGAAGGACAGGATGTTTTGGAAGGAAGCATCAGGTACTAGAGGTATTAAGTGACAAAATGGCAAATTGGAGAAATTGTATCATTTGGACACTGATACAATAAAGAAGAGCTTTGGCTGATGGGGAAGGGACAGGGAAGGGACCATCAAGCTTGGTCTATTCAGAAGTCTTGGCACAACCTGGGGCTAGCTCTGTAGAACATACTTCATCTACATTTACCTTAAAAAATGAACTTCTGGCTGGCAGGTCTGTATATTATCTCATATGTGCCGTTTCTATGCAGTCAAGTGTTTAGCTGTTAGATTCATGAAGTCTTAGCTACTAAACTTAGAGTAGAAGTGTCATCAGGATTAGGATGTAGGTACTGGATGGATGTCAGCTGGTGTGCTCTTGCAGTGTTTTCTGTGGGGCTGAGCACATCATCTATTCCTCCTCTGATAGGCTGTCTGGCTGGACCGGGCCGTGTGTAGCCTTGTAGGTCAGAAGCGCTTGCTGCCTCCCACTCACTACTCACTGGCTTAGGGTGAAACCTCATGGGGACCTGCGAGTTCTCACTGTGCTCAAAGCACGAAGAGCAACAGCAGCTGGTTTGCAGCATCAGCTATGTTCAGTTTGTGATTTTCCATAGTGCTTGGCTGCTCACCAAATTCTTCCTTAGAACTACCTCTATTATGGCTAATTACAAGAAAACAAATGAGGTGTAGTGATTTCGATAATACGTGACGAGGTTTATTTGGGCAGGTAGATGTTGAGTGAAATTGGTTTTTTTTCCACTCATGCCCACCTGCCTGACTGAATGCTTTTTCTAAAATGGGAAAAGGGACTTGACAGCATCCACTTGGTAAACTGACTCTACATGAAGAAACGTTTTGGTAAACGGACTCTAAAAAGAAACGTTTTGTCCTGAACCTAGATAGATGTATTTTGAAGTGTGGTTTCTATTCCGGACGTTAGGCTTATTTTTACTATTCCATGAAAAGTCGATCTGGTTTTTGTTGTTTCCTGGGTGACGTCAGGCCTTGTCTCTCTGCTTCAGCGGATACCCCTGTGATCTCTGAAGAGAAGGGGCCCTGTTACCGTCTGGTCAGTTCCGGAAGGCAGTGTATGCACCCCCTGTCTGTTCACCTCACCAAGCAGCTCTGCTGTTGTAGTGTGGGCAAGGCCTGGGGCCCGCACTGTGAGAAATGTCCCCTGCCAGGCACAGGTAAGACATGCCCAGCCACACGCGCACGTTCACTCCTGGCCACATATATACACAGGGCAACTTTGGCAGCTAGAGTTTTTTTTTTTTTTTGTTTTTTGTTTCTGACTCTAAATTTAGTTTTTAATAACACAATGTGTTTTTGTCACTTATGTAGAAATCATCCATGAACATAGAACAGTGAATCGGTGCAAAAAAAAATTACATGCAAAGAGATGTTCCCATTTCTGTGTAACAGTAGGCTTTCTTTAGAAGATTAAGAAAAGCCATCACAGTTTATCCTCATTTCGAGAACCCTAAGCCTGCTCTTCTAAAGTGTAGCGAGATCAAAGGCCATGCTGGGCCATGCGCCTTCCTAGTGATTGGCCGCTCAGCACTGGCAGAGTAGCTCGACCCTGTGCAGGTTGCCTCATTTGCTCCTTTACTGATCACGTGCTTGTCAGGTTCTGTTACGAACATTGGAAATGGAAGGAGTCTTAGTAACTCAAGGGAAGACCCTGCCAAAGTCCCTGTGAACTTCCTGGTGGGAGCTGAATATTAAGAAGCTGACGAGTCTTTATCCTTTAATTTGGTTCCTAATTGCCTCATGCCCTGAAGGAGTAAAGTTATGTAAGTGCCTTAATTTTACCAAGGAGTCACCAACGTTCCATGCAGGCCCAAGTAGAATTAAATGGAAGAGAAGAAACATCCCCTGTGAATACTGGGCACCATGACATTATCAAAGAAGCAACGGCCTCAGTCCCACTCATGCAGAGTGCGCATAAAAAATTTTCTTAGTCACTTATTTGAGGAGATGTTTCCTGCCTAGGAAAGTGTCTAAATTCTCACAGGGCCTTTAAAATCTGTAAGCTGTAACTTACATACACTGTAGCAGGCAGTGTTTAAATATAAATTTTTAAAAAGATTTTATTTCTTATTTGTGGAGAGAGGGGAAGGGAGGAGGGAGAGAGGGAGAGAAATATCAATGTGCAAGAGAAACATCGATTGGTTGCCTCTTGCACATTCCCAGCTGGGAACCTGGCTGATAACCCAGGCATGTGCTCTGATCAGGAATCAAACCAGTGGACTTTTGGTCTGCGGGTCAATGTCCAACCCACTGAGCCACACCATTCAGGGCTAAATTTAAATATTATGATCCACCTTTGGTGGTGGGTAGGATCAGAAAGAATTGGTAAGGCAGAAGATAGTGCAATGTTGGTGGTATTTTTGGTAGGCCAGATAATTTTAGACATCTCCAAAAGGTTCCATTTTCCTCCTGTAGGATGTTATCCACTTATTATTAAAACATAATAATCAAAAGATAAACTATCTTGTCATTCATAGACACATTTTTTTGTAAGTTCAATTTTTTTGGTAGCTTTGTAGCCTTTCCCAGAAACATAAATGGAGGTGGTGACTATCATGCAGGGAGACTCCTTCATAAAATACAATAGCTAAAATTGAAAATAATAGTAAAATAGAATTTTCACACTTAACCAATTTTTAGTTATATGGTGACTTCCATACAAATATTATTTAGTCATTAATGCCTAGCTATTTGATAGAAAACCATGTTTCATTCTGGAAACATCTATTTTTCTTAGAGTAAGAATTGTACTTCATAGTTAAACATAAGCATGATGTTCCTCCAGTTAGAGTTTCCTAAAATCATTGAGCACTGATTTTAGGTCCAGAACATTCCATAGATCTTTTTTTTTCCGTGAAAGTGAGAAATGCCTTCTTTTACTTTCAATTTTAAAAGCATAAAGAAAAAGTTCACTATCAGCTCCTTGGTGTCGGCAGGCGGCCCCTTGCCTCCAACGCTAGCCCCACAGGGATCGGGTGGCCTTTCCTCCTCGGCCCCGAGCCGCTTTGCCCGCCGCGTCTTCCCCTTCACTCACTGCTGGGCATGGTGTGATGGAGGTCAGCAAATCCCACATGTCCAGGCTACTTTTACTAACTGTACAAAACCACTTTGCTGGGGAGGACAGCAGTTGCAAAATGTCTCCTGTCCTCTGGATAACTTAGCCACCCGCTCACGGTCAGGCTTTTGCCCACTCAGCTCCTGTCCCTTGAGCACAAGTACACGCTAATGTGGCATGTCCTTTTGTAACTTGATTCCTTTCTGTCACCCCTTTAGCATGTTTCAGTGCGCTGGGTCCCTTCTCACTTACCCTGAAATGCTCTCTTCAAAAACACTCCCCCTTTTCAGTCCTTCTCAACCAGCCTCTCTGTACCAGCCTCAGCCCTCCATTCCGCCTGAGGCCTTTAGGTTCTGCAACTGGAAACAAATTACCACACTTTCAATACCTCATTTCCCTGAATAGCTATTTCTTGTTTACTTTTTCTTGCTCATCAGCTAGCTTAGAAAGATGTTACTGAGTTTCTTGTTAATAATTAATGAAATTAAACCATAGCTAAAGGAAAAAAAGCTTGATTTTTGCTGATAATACACACATCCAATAAGATATATATTATATAGTATCCTTTATACATAAAAATCTAATATATTACATATATTTTATGTGTAATATATAATGTGATATATAAAATATTAAATATACAATATAATATCTCCTAATTCACTGCTGATACATATGATATATAAAATATATATTCTTATATATGCTATATATAGTCTGGTTGTGTAGGATAAGGAATTAACAGATGGAGAATTGTTTAGTAAAAGAAAGGGTTGGGGTTTTTTTCCTGTAAATATGCAAGTTTAACAGAAATTCAAGCATTTTGCATCTGTTTTTGAAGATTTTAAATGTAACTATATGAGTGATAATTTATTAAGAGATACTCATCATGATATTTTCCTCTGTATAAGTTTGCACTTTTAGATTTTTAAAAGGAATATTTTCCCATCCCAAATCTAGCTGCTTTTAAGGAAATCTGTCCTGGTGGAATGGGTTATACGGTTTCTGGCGTTCATAGACGCAGGCCAATCCATCACCATGTAGGTAAAGGACCTGTATTTGTCAAGCCAAAGAACACTCAACCTGTTGCTAAAAGTACTCATCCTCCACCTCTCCCAGCCAAGGAAGAGCCAGTGGAGGCCCTGACTTTGTCCCGGGAACACGGGCCAGGAGTGGCGGAGCCAGAAGGTGAGAGTGGATATGGATCACGGGCCTAGCCATCTGTCCTGTGTGCCTTTGCTTTGGTTTCCTTGTTGATACCCTTCGCGAACAGGGGAACAGTAGTGCCTAGCACTACTGATATTTTGGGCTGTATTATTCCTTGATGTGGGGGCTGCTCTCTGCGTTGTAGGATGTTTAGCAACAGCCCTGGCTTCCAACCTCTAGATGCCAGTAGCAACTTCTCCCTGCCAGTTGTTGCAACCACAAAGGTGTCCAAACATTTCCAAGTGTCCCCTAAGGGGCAAAATTACCCCTGAAAGAGGATCACTTCTCTAGAGTAATAGGCACCTAACAGGTAACAGTATTCCATGGCAACCTCGGGACATGGTCTTATGTTTGGGGCCCCTTTTTCTTGGTGTTTAGTCCAGAAGAGGGATTTAGACCCTTCAAGGAACAGTCCAAATTCATTTCTGTGTCTGGAGGGCCCTGTAATAAATACTGACTTTAACAAATGGAATCCAGAGGCTTAAATTTAAAACATCAACTAGGCTTCCATGAAATAAAGTCCAACAGGCAGTCAGGGTTAATGGGAAGCAAAGTGGAGGAAGACAGAGTCCATTGACAGTGTCCGGGAGGTCATTTAGAGGCGTCTTTTGGTTTACATTTTGAGAAGCCTGAGACCTAGAGAGGGGACCTGACTTGCCAGATATCATGCACAGAGTAGGTGACAGGACCTAGGAGCACATTTTTCCAAGGAAGTGGTGTAGGCCTCATCATCCAGAGGGAGTCTAGAGACAGTTGACTTTGACTCTCTCTCTCTGGCATTCAGAAAGAGGATAGTCTCCATCTCTGTCTTTATGTGAATCGGCATGTCTAATACATGGAACATCTCTGTTACTACAAAAACTCTCACCCCCAATAAAAGGCACAAGAATCTTAGGTTTGCATGAAATATATATATTGAACCTAACAAAGCTCCTGTAGGCTTTTCCCACTTGATTTTTAGCTCAAAATTCAGTGTGCTCATTTATGGATTTTGTAAGGAGAGAAGATGCTCTGAGTTAGTGAAGAGTTGGGGGCTTGGCAAAGCCGCCTTCCTGGTAGATGTGTCTTTATTTCAGGGCTCTGAACCTTTGTGTGCTCTAGCCTGTTGTATTCCACTCTCTGACTTGCTGCCCTTCTTGCTTGGTTAGGCAAAGCAGGTGGGACCTCACCTCGAGTTGACAGGTTGACCAGTTTGCTCCTATATAATTGGAGTGTCATGGCCAGATGTTTGTAACTCCTCATCCTCTGTGTAACCAAGAGAAAATTGGCTCTGGTCCAGGTTCTGTCTGAAGACTTTTTTAATGGTGGATTAGGCAGGATAGAATAGTTGAGTTGTTCCAATCACAAGAATATTGCAGCAGTGGCAGCAAACTTGTAACTGATCGCTTTTAGGAGCTAATGCTTCTAAACAAACCTGTATACTAATGTTTATGGAGACATTGGCTCATGAGAAAAGTTCTGGTGACTGTTCACCGAAGGCCAAAGGACTGATTAATGAAAAGCCACCCTTTCAGAAGGAAAGGCATGACCACTACCACCCTATAATCATGTTTATGACTGCATTAATTTGTCATTTGTCCACCATATTGATGCTAATCTCTCCTTGGATCTTATTGACATGCGACTTTTTTTCATAATTGCATCACCACATCTTCCTGACAATGCTCATAGGGCTTCATTAAGAATTAGTGTGCATCAAGAAAGCAGCACCCATTCCTCTGTCTCATTGAAATGGTGGCATTCTTTTTTAACATTGACATCAAAAAGCATTTCAAACATTATGTATTAAGGATAAGTATATGACCAATTAAAGAAAATATCTGTTTTCTAAGATAATAGGAAGTTCTACAAAATTGATGTTAGACTTACAATAATGTACCAGAAAGCATTCCCTCCTTTAACATTTTTAATTAATAAGAGACATAGAAAGAACATCGCATCTGCTACCTGACCGCCTGTAGTTGAGGAATGACATAGTGCGGAGGGGTTTTCCCTGTCAGCGGTGTGTAGAATTCTCCAAAGTAGTAGTAGTGACCATGATTCTGCATTTGACTTAGTTTGATTCTTAGTCCTTTTGGAGAGACACTGGACTTCCATTGCATTTTAAAAATGAAAATATTACATAGTAGATTGTTTTAAATTATACTAATGTCCTCCTTTCTTTTCTGGTTTTAGTGGCAACTGCACCCCCTGAAAAGGTAATTCATTCATTGTTTGCAAGTCCCTTTTTTTATTTAATTTGAAAATAATTTCCTTTTGGAATGTATATGGGTTTTTTAAGGCTTAAATACAGGAACATGTCTATCCATCATTTGGCTGAAGGAAATGAGGCATTCATTCATTCAAGAAATATTTAGTGAGCATCTACTATATGACCAGCAGTATTCTGACTGCTAGGAAAACAATAGAGAAAAATATCAGACAAAACTTCTCTTTCTCATGGAACTTAAATTCCAGGGAGAAGAGAATGATGGGACTAGTGGGAATCATGGGCTTAAACAGAATTCAAGGAGTCAACTTATGTCCTTGACCATCTATGGAAAGAAATGTTCTGATGTGTTTATGTAATTGTGTATTCTTGTGGTACATATATACTGAGCGATGTACTTCTTAATTAAAATTTAACATGCATGTTTGAATTTGTTAGAGTAAGAGAGCTTACCCTTGAAAGTTATAATCAATACTAGAGTATTGCTTCTTAGAAATTTTAGAGAAATTTTTATCAACCTTTTGTTTTGGCATAAAATAGGACTATGAATTGTGAAATTAATTAGTAGGAGATACAGAAATTTTCTGGGACTAATTTATGGAATAATATTTCTTGTCTGAATCTTGCTTTGATTCTTTAATAACATGAAGATGAAGTAATATTAAATGTTTATACATTTATATATGTCATTTATTCAGCTGACAAGAATTCAGTAAGTATTCCATTTTAGATCAGGAAAATACATATGTAAATTATAATAGTTTTAAAAATCTTTACCTTATGAATATGGGATAGAATAACATAAGTGTTATACAGGCTAAAAGAAGCTAGAAAAAAAGGAAGTATAACTTTAGAGCAATAGTACCCAACAAGGAATGATGCCGTATTAACCCTAAAAGAAGTACAACAGAGATGCATATTTTACATGAACATTTGCAGCTCTTGGTCAGCATCTCTAAAGTTAAGTGACATGTGGCAGTTTGCAATTTTGTTGATCTGGAATTTAGTTCCGGTTGAGGCGTGGGAGGAGTCCTTCAGTGGTGAGCGGGCTGGCCAGCTCCTTGACAGCCTCATCTCATCACAGTTTTGTTCTCTCTTAATGGTTGAGTTTAAGCTACCTTTCATCAGGACTCTGAAAGAGGACTTGAAAATTTTCTTGTATACTCTCACTGCAATTTATCTGGAGAGGCGGCAGTGAGAAAAATGCAACCATAGTCTCCGTGGTCCTAACTCCTCACAGAAGGAGGCCTCCTGATACTGAAGACTGATGAAGAGAAAGCAAGGTGCTCAGGGGGTGGGAAGTTACATGTGCAAAGGCGTGGTGGGGACGGCAAGAGGTCAGTGAGGGGAGCATGAGAGACATGGTTAGAAAGAGAAGTTTGGAAGACCAGGCTGCCGCTGTCATCTGTGGGAAAGCCCCCCCCTCCTCACCTGTCAGGTGGAGAAGCGGCATGGATGAGGGAGGCCGCTGCCCGGGCTGATGGGAGAAATTCTGCCTGTGAGCGGCGGGAGTGGATTAAGGGTCTTCTCCTTGCTGGCATTGACCATGGGCTGCAGGGATTGGGATACAGCCAAGACTGATTGAGGTCATCGTAAATACATAGTAGAAAGCTAGTCTGTATTTTTAAGAAGAGGGGAAAATTAGTAAGTGTTCACTGTTTTTAGAAGATCAATCATAACAGGATTAACTGAGATAGGGAGAAAGAGGGAGCTGGAGGAGGCAATTAAATTACTAGAATAAGCTGAGAATGAGTGAGTCCAGACTTGCAGTAGTGGTGGCTATGGATATGGAAAAGGATGGACAATGTAAGGAATAGAGCAAATGGGCAGGGGCTGGAATGAGAAATAAAGGAGGGAGGACTAAAAAGTGACTTTAAACCTGGATGGGTTAATGATTGTGTCACTGAAAGAAATGAAGTTGAAATGAGATATTGGAAGGGGTGGATTTAAG